GGAGGAGGAGGAGGAGGAGAGGAGGAGGAGGAGGAGGAGGAGGAGCAGAAGAGGAGGAGGAGGAGGAGGAGGAGGAGGAGGAGGAGGAGGAGGAGTCGTACCCTGGGTCTCTGGCGGCCTCTCGTGGCGAGGCGAGCCCCCGCGGGACGCTCTTCTCGGGGCGCAGCTGCTGGGAGGCAACCCGAGGCTGGAAGACCACCGATGAAACGACGGGACCTTTCGAAAACCTCGACCGCCGCCTGGCCCTTCCAAGAGGCACCCCCATCGCGCCACCCCCTTTCGCGCGCCGCCAACCTGAGCTCCGTCTCCTCCTCCTCCTCCTCCTCCTCCTCCTCCTCCTCCTCATCCATCATCATCATCATCATCATCATCATCATCACATCATCATCATCATCATCATCATCATCATCATCATCATCATCATCATCATCATCATCATCATCATCATCATCATCATCATCAGCATGCGGCGCGACGGTCTGTCGGCTCGCGCCCGCTCTCCAGCCCTAACCAGGACGAGTTCCGCGACGACTTCCTCCTCCTCCTCCTCCTCCTCCTCCTCCTCCTCCTCCTCCTCCTCCTCCTCTTTTTCCTCCTCCTCCTGCACAGAACAGGCGTTCAGTTGCCCTCCCATCGGTGAGGGCCCATAGCCCATTGCCAGCCATCGGCTTCGACTCCAGGCTGGCGTGCGTCGGGGGGCTCTTCAAGAGGTGGCCGCAGACCCACCCCAGGAGGAGGAGGCGGAAGCGGAGGAGGAGGTAAAGGAGGAGGAGCAGGAGGAGGAGCAGGAGGAGGAGAAGGAACAAGAGGAGGAGGAGGAGGAGGAGGAGGAGGAGGAGGAGGAGGAGGAGGAGGAGGAGGAGGAGGGATGGGGGAGGAGGGGAGGAGGAAGAGGAGGGAGGAGGAGGAAAGGAGGAGGAGGAGAGGAGGAGGAGGGGAGAGGAGGAGGAGTAGGAGGAGGCGCAGGCGGAGGAGGAGGAGGAGGAGGAGGAGAAGGAGGAGGGAGGAAGAAGAAGACGGTAGGAGCGGGAGGAGGAGGAGGAGGAGGAGGGAGGAGGAGGAGGAGGAGGAAGAGGAAGGCGGAGAAGGAGGAGGAGGAAGAGGAAGAGGAGGGAGGAGGAGGAGGAGGAGGAGGAAGGCGAGGAGGGGGAGGAAGGCGGAGGAGGCGGAGGAGGAGGGAACATGGGCCTCCTGTAGCTTATTTTGGGGCCATGACTCTCGCCTCCAGCCGCCGTTGGGGACGATCTGGGCACCCCGAGTGCGCTCTCGGGGAGGCGCAGCTTCTGGAGAGCATCACCAGGCTAGAAAGCCGCCGAGAGCAACTGAGAACGCCCGAGAACCTCGAACCTCCAACCTCGAACCCGAACATCTAAAACCCGCCAACACGAGGACGAGGACGAGGATGATGACAAGGATGGGGAGATGGAGGAGGCAAGGGGGGGATGGCTGCGTCGTTTTCGACCCTCGAGCCGGCAGCGACAGCGACATGAGAAAGGAGGCGCGAGGTGGGAGAGACTGAGAGCAGAGCGGAAGGAGGAGGCGGAGAAAGTACGAGGAGAAAGAGATGGAGGGGGAGAAGGAGGGGGAGAGAGAGAGAGAGAGGGAGGAGAGAGGAGGGAGGAGCGAGGATGAGGATGCATCAAGCTGGGCATCTGGTACGATCCTACATCTGACCTGCGCTGTTCGCGATCACGCGGTTTTTCCAAAGGGATGCAGTACGGGCGCGGCCGCAAGAAACCCTCACAAGAAACACCCAGCCCTGAAAACCCGGGTGCGAGGTGCACTGGAGGGGAAACCCGGAGCACCCTGGACGCAGCAGCTTCTCCAACGGCTGCGGGAAGTTACCTCGGTACGCGCGGAGCGAAGACACCCAAGATACCCCGACGAGAAGCATGTGGCTTCCGGATGCGCACCCCCACCGCACCGCAGCCGCAACGACCAACAAGATCAACAAGCCTATCAACGCCCAAGGAGACCCTCAACCAAACGACGCTGCTCAGAAGGCACCCTGTATACGGAGGACGGAACCCGAGGTCATGGCGCACAGTAGCTCCAACAGACACCAGGAGGAGGAGGAGAAGGAGGAGACGGAGGAGGGAGAGAAGGAGGAGAAGGACGAGGAGGAGGAGGAGGAGGAGAGGAGGAGGAGAAGGAGGAGGAGGAGGAGGAGGAGGAGGAGGAGGAGGAGGAGAGGAGGAGGAGGAGGAGGAGGAGGAGGAGGAGGAGGAGGAGGAGGAGGAGGAGGAGGAGGACCACCAAGCGCGAGCTGCCCAACACAAGCACGAGCAGCGACCCAGCGGCAGAGCCGCGGCATCGCGGCGCAGAGCCGACACCGCCCACGCTGCAGGTGCACGCGGAGCTCCGCTTCGACAACACCGCCGCCAAGCTCAACCGCTTGAAAGAAACTCCCGGCCACTACTCGCAACGACGCACCCTCTCCGGCACCCGCCCATGGCTGGCGGATGCCATCGCTGACCACGAGCAGAAGCCGGCACCAGGAGCATGATCACCGACTCCAACATCACCACGCACGACGCTGACGCTGACCCTGCCGGCCCCACCGCAGGGACAGCAGGACAAAAGGGCTCCTTCAGATGGAGAAGGGCACGACAACCCCACGGATCTACAAGAAGAAAGGGCCCACAGCTCCGAAGACGACACAATGATCGGGCCAGAGACCGCGTGGCAACACTCGCCAACGTATGGCATCGCGTACAAGCTCGAGTACAACAACCCGGAGAATCAGGAATCTCCCCCTGATCGCCAACCCACGAGGCTGAAGCCTCGCGATGGAACCGGCCGAACGGCGGCATCAGTGCGTCGTCACCGTCCCTCACATCCCAATTTGAACATAGCCGATCCCACGGCAAATAGCATATCCGACTCTAACCAGCTGCTCCATTTCAACTCCACGCCTCTGCAGTATACTCATACCAAATCGTTCGCACTCACTGGTATCGCAAGCAGCAGCACAGCTGGCCGCAGAGGACTCATCTTACTCACTCTACCGACGGCTAGACGGCAGCACACAGCAAAAACGTTCAACCACGCAGCGCAGCCTACGGCTACAACACCGACAACAAGTATGCTATGCTGTGGGTCCTGGAGGGGCGTTCTCACGCACATGTGCTATATCATCCGACGCATTCCGCAGGGGTCCCTACAGGGCCTTCTCATCCATGGCAGTGGGTCCCCACGGGGCTTTCTCACCCACAGAAAAACCGCGCAACATGAAGGCCTCTACTAACTTTCACATCCTCCGGGCTCACCCCCGTCTCCCTCCGACTTTCAACGCTAACCTCCTACCATCCTCCCTCTTGTGGTGGCAGGGCTGGGCGGGTATCAGGCTGGGAATGGGTATGGACTCACTGCTAGCCATTCTGGCACTGGCCAGGGCGGCCGCGGCCGCAACACAGCCGGCAACCAGCCACCGAACCTTTCCTGCAACCTGCTACTCACTCGGCATTTTGCGGGACCTGCTCCGCTAGGGCACTGCAGTCCATGTGAGTTGGTGCGAAACCCGAAGATTTGCTACAAAAAGCACCTGAGGGACCCCCAACAGTTCTCCTCGGCCCCATCGGGCACAAGACTCTTTGGGCTTTCTGGAGGCTAGGGCTGAGGCGACAAGACCCCAGGGTACCGAGAAGCATGGCTTGCCTCGCACCCACGAGGGGTGGTCTCACCTCGTCTCACTGTGGCCCTCAGCATCTACCTTAGCAGTGCCGCATCACAGCAGCAACTCCCTACCCCACCAGCGCATCGCCGCTGAGCTTCTCTTCCAGCAGCCGCCAGCAGCCAGCAGGCCACTTCTCGCAACCAGCAGTCGCAACCACCAGTTGCCTGCTTCAACTAAAGGTGGGGGTGGGGGACAGGGGGTGTCATCGGGGTGATACCCTACCAGCACCAGCACCGCGCCGCCGCCACGAAGGCACAAACCTCCCCCACGCACGGTGGGCCCCCCCCCAGGCGACCGCCACCCGCGCGATGGGTACCCTACTCCTGCTTGTAAGGGGAGGGTACCAGTGGCGGGGATGGTGGACGCCTCGGCGGGGGCCCTATGTGCAGAGGGAGAGGCCCTTCTGCCTTCCACCTGGGCGAGTATGGCCAGCCACTCTGGCGACCGTGGCCACCCCCGCCACCGCCTGGAAGGCTCAAACCTGCCTCAAGCTCGGTGGGTTCACCCCAGGCGGCCCCGAGGTCAGTGCACTGGGAGCCCTGCGCCTGCTTGCAGCTGGGGGATCCCGTCGTTGACCTCGGGGACGCCTGTGGATGGTTCCCATGAGCCGAGGGAGAGGCTCTTGAGCCTGCCCCCTCCTGGCGAGCGTGGCCACGAGCCGCCATCTCCACTCTGGGCTCCGGCTACACCTTCTCGGCGCCGCCACCGTGCCGCCACGGCCGCTTGCATTCCTCCCTCTTCCCTCCCCGATGCTCGGGTGCTTCTCTCTCCTCCCTCCCTCCCCCGTGCCTGTCTTGCCCGTCCCACCTGTGCAAACTATCTCGTCGCCACAGACGCTGACAATGTCACCCTCCACACAGCCGCTGACCATGTGGCCCTCCGCCCCCCCCCCCCCCGGGCCGACTGGCCCTGGGAGCCGGGGGGGGCCACATCTGGAGATCCTAGCCGTGAGGAATCAGGAATCAGGACCAGGAGGAAGTCGAGAGGGAGGACACGAGGAGGAGGACACGAGGAGGAGGACACGAGGGAGGACACGAGGAGGAGGAGGAGGAGGAGGAGGAGGAGGAGGAGGAGGAGGCGGAGGAGGAGGACATGAGGAGGACATGAGGAGGACATGAGGAGGAGGAGGAGGACGAGGAGGAAAAGGAGAAGGACGAGGAGGAGGAAGACGACAGGGAGGACACGAGGAGGAGGAGGAGGAGGAGGAGGAGGAGGAGGAGGAGGAGGAGGAGGAGGAGGAGACGAGGAGGAGACGAGGAGGAGACGAGGAGGAGACGAGGAGGCCCCCCCGCCCCCTGACGGGCGCGCGAAGCCGGCGCCCCTCCTCGCCCACAGGATCACCGACACGCGCCCCGGCGTGTGGCGCGCGCCCGTGGAGCGTGCGCGGCGCCTCGCTCGGATGGAGCGGGCGAGGCGGCCGCTTCGAGGCGGCCGCCGCGGGGCGCGGCGCCCGCGAGGGCGGCGAGGACGAGGACGAGGACGAGGGCGACGAGGAGGGCGAGGAGGGCGCCGAGGACGACGCTGAGGACGACGGAGAAGGGCGAGGGGGACGAGGGCGCGGCGCGGAGGACGGCGAGGACCACGACGAGGGCGACGTCGAGAAGAACGAGGAGGACGACGACGGAACGACGACGAGGGCGACAAGGACGACGCCGAGGACGACGATGAGTACGAGGAGGACGAGGGCATCGAGGACGCGTCTGTCTCTCTCTTCTCTTTCCCCTTCCCTCCGTCCCTCCTGTGGCTCGGCCACGGGGGTTCCAAACGAGAGGTCCCCCCCTCGCCGCCCCCATGAGGGCACCCCCGCGGCAATCGGGAGGATTTCTCCTTCCCTCCTCCCCCTCTTCCTCGTCCTCGTTTTCATTTTTCAACTGAGGCGGACCCCCTTTTCACAGTGCAAGATGAGAAAGAGCACGAGTTCCAGGAGAGATCGCAGAAGCGAGAACTCCAGCTCGAGACGGTTCTGAAGTCCCAGGACAAACTGGCCCTGTCGACCAGTGCCGCCAGAGAAACCCACCTACCTACCAGACACGCATTTGGACGGACTTGGGAGAGTGGTGTGGGACACGACCGACATGCACCGCGACTCCCGGGGAACGCCCCAGACCCCGGATATCCAGATTTTTCATGACATTGACCCCCCGAGGTCCCGACCCATTCCCCGGGACCTGTGTTTCACCCTGAGCTTCTCTTTGACGATCCCGAGGCCCAGTGAAGGCCCCCATGAGGCTGGACATAGCGAGAAAAACTGTTCGCCGCGATTTTTCCCTGACTCGAGAGGGGGGTCTGGGGGCAGCAAGAGATTGAGTAGTGAGCAGCTAAGCAAGGAATTCGTAGCAGCAGGGAGTCTTCCACGTCCATGGCACGTGTTCCTCGAGGGGGCGCGCGCTGCGAGGGCCGTCGCCCCCCCCCCCCCCCCCTCCCCCCCCCCACACACACCCCTCCGCCGATGCCTTGACGGCCGAGCTGCTCGTCGCAACTCTCGGCCGGGAAGTCAGATCAATGGCAGATTGTTGTAGCGTCCACGTCGGCGGTTGGGATACCAGGGATAGCTGGCAAGTGCAACGGATCCAGCGCGCCCACCAAACATTACCAACGGCCGACGCCCATGGTCGTCCATGGCCTTCAGTGGTCGCCAACGCCCTCCAGGTCAGCAAAGCTCTCGGCCACGATGCACGTAGATCGTCTCCCCCAGGTGAGCATTGAAGAAAGCTCTCCTCGCATCCCATACCTGGGTTTTCCTCTCGCGGGCGCATCGTAGGTCACGAAGCTGCTCGACAGATTGTCGCTAGACATTATATAAAAAGGCGGTGCCAATTGGTTTTGTCAGGCCTGCGCCCATGCTCGTTGGCCTCAGTGGCCGCGCACTTCCACCTTACCTTCCCTTCCTTGTGATGCCTTATCGGAAACCTCCGGTGCTGCCATCCGTCGCCGTCTAAATCCCTCTTATGGTCCGCCAGAGTAGCTTCGTATCGCGCCGACGTTGGTCACCAGACAGCGTCTACAGGCACGCTCGTTCTTGTGGCCTTCTCTGAACTGACACCTTGACGACGGCCTCTCACCTTTCAGAGCATCGGCCTGCCCTTCTCAGATGTGGACCCCACGCAGGGTCGAAGCTCTCGTCGTGCCCTTCTTCACAGGCCACAGGCTCGCAGACAGACGTCACGCCCGCGGGCGCCTCTCGTAGACTCTTGATCTGCACCTCGGGTCGAGAGTCATCCGGGGCCATGCGTCTGAGACAGCCCTCATCTGTCTGCATCTCGGTCCTGCTGAGACAGCAGGAGCTGGACCTGATGCTTCTCATGCGCCAGCAGTGGGTTTGGGGGCGCCTGCAGCAGATGCACGCGCAGGGTTCACCGCTGTCTGACCTCCAGTCCCTGGCTGGCTGCAGCTCGTGGCGCCTGGCGCGGGGCCTCCCGCGGCCGATGCCGCCGACGCCGCCGTCGCCTCGGTGGCCGAAGGTTTCTGGTCTTGCTTCTCGCGTAAGGGGTCCGCTCGAATGGTCTCGAGCCGCTGTCGGCAGGCTGCCGAGTACGACCCATGGCCCGCTCTGTGCAACTTGGAGTCGTTGGCCGGGCCGCGCGCGTCAATCATCCGATCCGCGACGCGCATGCTGCGTCCGTCAGCCGTGGGACGTATCCCTCATCGGCGCATACTTCTAGGAAGTCCCCATGCTGGTCTTCAGCAGCTCGGCGTTCCGCCTGGTCTCCACTGGTGTCCTTCTCACTGTCCTCATCTTCTGGGCTCCACGCTCGATGCCGATCACTCGGTGGGCGCCGTCGCATCGCTCTTGCCGGCCCGGGTGCCACTGGCGAGCCTGGTTTTCAACTTGCACCTCGAGCAGCTATCCTGTGCCAGACCTGCCCCCCGAACTCTGCGACCTCGCCCTTGTGCATCTTGCTGAAAGGCGTCTTGTGCAGAGAGCTCCCGCGGCCCCTTGATTGGAACTCAGTGACCGTGCAGCCGACTGATTTCACCAACCACGGCACAATCGGATCCGCCACCTTGATCCATGCCCAGCATGTGTTCAGACCCCCAAGCGCCCTGCTGCTATCTGGTTGGCACCTTCAAAGCAACTGGCTCTCCGCTTCGAAGAGGGCGGCGGTCCTGGCGCCAACGTGGAGTCCGACCCTTAATCCAGAACTGCACTCGTCAGAGCTATCGCGGCAGGCCCCCTTTTCTGTCTGCAGCATCACCGTCACGCGACCCTACAGCTCAAGCACTGGAGCCAGGAATGCGTTCTTGTAGTCGTCCAGTTCCTTGTTGGCGGAAAGCGTGGCGCGGGCTGAGGCCTTGCAGCCGATCGCACTCAGCGCTGACATAGCTTTCTCCGAATCTGCATTGCTCATCGCGGGCTTGTCGCGACGCTTGCCGCGCAATGCTTCGGCGTTGAAGTTTGCGTTTGCCGCCAAATCATCCGTGACAACAGAGAAAATGTAGCAAGTACCTTTGTGATCCCCCTCTCATCCGCAGACGCACGCACGCGGCGGAAATCATCATAAGCTCCACCGCGAACGCACAGAGGAGGCCAAGGGCAGAGCGGACGGTGATGTCCTTCAAGGGCTGCACGCACAGCCGCACTCGGCTGGCGCGGAGACTTGAATACCCCTGTCGGCACAATCGTTGCGTCGCCGGGCTCTGGGCCCAGCGCTCGTGGCAGGCGGCTTGCCTCCTGCTCAGCATGCACCGTTCTTGGTAGCGACTCCCGCGCTGCTGCTGCTGCTGCCAAGGAAACGACGTGGCTTCCCTGGATTCCACCTTCGGGGATAGAAGTCACGATCCAAGTAGCGGTTGCTCAGATGCTTCTCGAGAGGCACGAGCGCGGCGCCATCGGGAGGCCCGATCGCCCCATCAATGACCCAACTAACTGCAAGGCCCTGGATAACATTCTAAAATCGCTGTGCCACCGCATCCGTCGCCACCACGGCGCACTCTACGTCGGCCACTTCTGCGCCAACTTGAGCGACTTCTCCATCTCGAGACAAGTCGAGCTCCACGCGGCTGTGCCTCGCAATCTCTCTCCTCCCACGTCCATCAGACCCGCCGCGTCACCCTCGGCGGGGGCGTAGCTGCGTTTCGTCACCTGCTCCTTGGGCACAACACTGATCTGATATCCAGAGTCTAGCGCCGCCGGATTTCGGAGCGGGGCCAACCGCGCTCGGTCGCCCTCCTAACTCTGTCTTTTCAGGCCGGCCACCCGGGCAAGCGCGGGCGGCTCCGCGGCAACTGCATTCGCCGCCACTCTCCAGCGCGCTGTTCTCGCTTCCTGCCGTTGAGGCAGTAGTCGCCGCGCACCTGGCAGAATGCCCAACTCCAGGCAGCGCGGCGCCGCCTGCCCCCTCTGAGTCTTCGGCCGCACCCGCTGCAGTGGCACTGGTACTCCAGACCCAGTCAATCTGATGTGTTGGGATATTCCTGTCTACAACGCTACCATCGTCTCCGCTTGAAGCGCCGGCAGTTACGGTCGAGCAGCTGCGCGAGTCGCGCTGCCGGGCACTCCGGACCCCGCCGAACCAGAGCCTGCGAGCTGGGCCCCTGAGCCTGACGCTCTCGCTCGACGTCTTTGACTGCGGCGGCAGCCGCCATTCTAATTAGTCTCCTTGCGCATGTCTTTCGTTTCCTTCTACTTTGAGACGGGATGTTCGTCTTGCCCCTTCAGCTTCTCGTCGGCGATTATCTTCCTGCAATCTTGCTTGCAGTGTGTTCCTATGTATCTGCATCTATATATGTACACATATATATATATATATATGTATATATATATATATATATATATAGGAAACAAAATTGTGCGACAGGACTAGCGCTCGATCTGCGCGTCGGGTTTGTCGCGGCCGTGGCGGGGCGCGGCTCGTTCCTTGCGAGTCATTGCCCTGTGCTTGCATACGCTGGCACCGCGGGAAACTATCGTCTCGCTTCTTCACGTTCATCAACACATCCTACCCCGCTTTGAACATTGGCGTCCGCCAGGCGAGTCCACGTCGCGAGAGCGCGCGCAGGCTTGGTAAGATCGCGCTCTTTCAAAAGCCCCCAACGCAGCACCCCCCCCCTGTGAGCTGTTCCCCGCGAGCAACTCGGCGACCAAATCGTCCGGCACGGCCGGGCCCAGGGCGAAGTGCAGCTGCGCGCTCGCGCCGACCTCCAGGGCGCCGAGGCCCCCGTTATCGACGACTGTGCTCTAGCCCCCATCTTCTCCAGTAGCTCCAATGCCGTCGGTCTCGAGCGACGGGGCGCGCTTGGCATCGGAAAGGGGTCATCTCCCATGAGATTATCTTGCCGGACGGCTTGACTTTGCAGTTGATCTTGGGGCCCTGGAATTCGTCGCGGCGCTGGCCCTCTCGTTCGCGACCCCCTCTGTTTGAATGTGACCTATCGTTTTCGCTTCGAGCT